GTGAGGGAAGTCGAGCAACTGTTTGCCTATTGCTGCCGCCCGCAGGCCTTATAAATGCGCATTAACTCGATCTATAATTACTCATATCTCTATCATTTACGTTTCTTTCTTTTTTTTTTTTCTTTCTTGGCCCAATTTGTGGGCAAAGCGTTACGTCTAAGGCGATTGGCTTTTGCGTGACTTTCATAAATCCATTTCTAGCCGGAGATCGTGGCAAATCAATTTATGCCACAATGTGACAGCAAATGGAGGGCGTGCCGCACACTTACGGCCGCATTGCATAACGGCAATTGAGCTACATCTGGCCATGTCTGAGGTCGCCGGCGCACCTGCTCCACATTCCAGCATTTCGGCTCTGAAGTGCCCTCAAGCTCGGCGTGCCCATGCCCAAAATATAATAACAGCCCAGTCACAATTTATGGCCCATCGGAGATGCATTAAGGATGCCCAAATTGTGAATGCATCTCGACTTCTGCTTCTGCCCTCAACTGCTTTCAAATGTCTTTGCATGCCAATTGTACAATTACTCTAACGTGTATATATGTATGTACATATGTATCTATTTTAACTGGGGCAGCATAACAATGTTAAACAGACAATCAACCATTACATACATACATACATACATTTTAAGCCAAACTTTTAGTTATGTGAGAAACTGCTTTAAGCTTGATTTTGTATATTTAGTATTTCACATACATAAATTTGATATACCCCATATTAATATACACTTGATATGCCCAATATAACTATACATAACTCTCAAGACTCGACTACATTAACTCTGCTTTTAGAGTTTGACCAATTATCGGACATAGAAATAACACTTTATTATTTTTGTTTTAATATATTATCTTAAATTTATTACTATTAACTATTAACTTTATTTGTTATGTAGTTTAAACATATTAGTTTTCCACATAAGCGTACTTCATCTATTTCCAAGAGTATGCACACGTCCATACACCAACAGCCTTTGTTATCGTCTCTTCAGCATTTCAAGTACCGTTGTTGCTGCACACACACTCACTCAATAGCTGGGCACTCGAGGCGAGTCGAAGAAAACGATTCGATACATCCATTCGATACCATAAAAATCGCTCAGCTACAATTGAGTTATAATGCAATTGGCAAACGTAAAGCAAATGTTGTTAACTTGCAGCGAAGTCGTGAAAGAGAAGGAGAACAGAAGGAGAGAGCGGGAGGGGGAGCAAGGCAAGGGACATTGTTGCGTTTGACCGTCTGCAAAAGTTTTGCGCTCAATGAAAATGACACATAAATAGCATCAACATTCAGGATCTGGGCAAAGGCACAAATGTGATTACGATTACGTCCAACTTTCAGCAAGGAGTCACCTTTGTTTGTTGATGACTTTTGCTTGATTTGTGTGTGTCCTGTGTCTCTCTCTATCTGTTGTATATGTATGTGCGAACGTGCGTGTGTGTGAGTCCATTATGGCTCTTATGAAATTTGGCACATAAATTGTATTATTGCATTTATGCTTGATTTTATTTCCGTTTGCCTTACAATCGTCATGTGATTGTGTGGGCGCTTAACAGCCTTAGCTTATATGTGCATATGTATGTGTGTGTATGTGCATGTGTGTGCCTTTGTATTGACTGTTAAATTGGCTTTAGTTGCCTTTTCGTCGCTTAAGTGAATTTGCTGCGAATTCGCCTTTGTATTCGCTCTCAAGTTTCTTACTCACACTCTTTCTCTCTCTCACACACACACACTACATTTCAACGGTTTCCTTTCGCTAAGCGCCTTACTCAACGCCCGAGCACAATTTGAACTTCAATTAGCTGCATTGGCTAGCCTAATAAACGTGCACACTTAAACTCACTCTCCTGCGCTCACTCCACACACGGACTCTGCCCTCTCTTCGTCCATTCGCTCACTTTACCGCTCTCCATCTGCCTTGCTCTCTGCCTTTCTCTCTCTATTTCGTATACAATTACAAATGACGCGCCATTGCCAGGCCGAAAGTCAATTAACGGAACTCGCATAAAAGCTACTCCACGCGCCTCGTCTGCTAATTGGAATTGAAACATAAATTAAAAGTCAAAGACGTGGACGAAAGACGAAGACGAAAATGTGCAAGGCTTGAGAATGCAACGAAAACTTTACGACTTCACATATGTGCGCTTGCCGGTGTTGGTCAATGCGCAACGTAACACTGAGCGATTTTTACGTTTTGTCGTAATGTGCACCAATTACGTTAGTTCAGCAGAGTTTTTGCTTCTGCTTCTGCTTCTGTTGCTGTTTCTGTTTGCATTGACAGCTTAGATTAAGTGTGCAGCATAAATTTGTGGAGGGTCGCGCCCAAAATAGCTCGCGATATATTTATGTGAGCAAATTGCAATTGCCCCAGTGGTTAGTGGAAATTATTTGGTAGCAATTAAAACTATGAATCCTTAAGCATTTGCCAACATATGGCAACGCATGTATGTACTTCCAGATAACCAATATACGTTGAAGCTAAATTAATACACACATGCACTCATGTTTACTTGTATTATTGTGTATTGCACTATTTCACTCAGGGCTTAGCTATCTTGAATAGTATAAATATACTAACACATACATCCACACCCGCTCATAAATGCACTCTTATAATTATAAGTTCATTTTGATCGTCACTGTCACTCAGTTCTTGATGAGAGAGAAAGAGAAAATGAATTCTGCTATTTATAACAAACGCTTCATTCCGTTGGCTATGCTAAGCATTAGCACACAGCAGAAGTAAAAGCATATGAACTCTTATAATTCGATGTCTGATTACTAGCCGGTGCTTATATAGTTGTACTCTTATACTAATAACTTATTCTTAAGCTTAGCCCGTGAGTGTGTTTATTGTGATTTGTAGAGCAGCATACTCACAAACTCTTATAATTATTAAGAGCTTAACCTTTAGACAGCCACTGTAGCTAAATTAAAAAACAATTTTTAATAGTTTTTGTAAATAAAATTAAATATTTAAATCAATGTAGTAATATTCATATAATTATATAATAGTATAAGTAAACACATTCTTATTGCAATCAATATCGATGCGTACCTAAGGGTTAATTTCGCCTTTGTCTTCTGCTTGTTATATTGCCAATCCACTAACCACTCCTGCACCCGCTCTTCCCCTCACACACACACACTCGCGCTACCCTAGTTTTGCCCATAACCACGCCCCCTCCCCCTCTCGGCCCACTCTTCGGCTGTGTGTTTGTGTCTTATGGCACAAATGGGAGTTGGCTTCAATTTTCTTTATATTACAACTTGATTTAATTTGACGTGAGACTTGGATTTGTTTCACGCTCTCGAGAAAATGCCGGAAAAGCGGGCGCAGAACAATAAAAAGAACAGAACAGAAAAATAATGGAGCTGACCAAAAATGATTACAATTCACTTTCCGAATTCCAATTCCTATTCAAAAAATTTCCTAATGAAAATATTAAGATTAAACTAGACGGAGAAAAAGAAAAGTCATTTGCCAGCTGCCAACTGCCAGATGCACGAAAAACAACAACAACAACAACAACGGCAACAATTTCCATTTACAGGGTAGCTGATCCGCCGATTGATATAATTTCATTAAGTCAACAACAACACAAGCAACACCAAAGCAATTATTGTCGCTGCCACGCCCACTTTTCACGCCACGACCAAGTTTCTTGGCGTGACAAAAAAAAAAAAGAGAAACACCGAAAAAAGCAACAAAAATGTAAAAGTAAATAATAATGAAAATGAAAATGGAAATGCATAACGCAGGGGTAGTGGAGTAGGGGTGCAGGGTGTTCGTGGCGGGTAGGAGGCGTGGCCTGGGAAAAGTCCTGTTTGGAGACCCAGGCGAAGTGTCGAAAACTCATTAAAAACTTTTTTACAGCCCATTTGAAAGCAATTTGTAAATTGCGCGAACCCAAAGGCAAAACTCTATTAATTATTATTTATTATTATTATAAATATTTTTTCTAAATTATATTTTCATTAAATTTTAGAAAGTAAACAATTAATATATGTATATGAATTAATAAAAAAAAATATATATATTATATGCCTTATTATTTAATGTATCTTACTGTTTTATATTTTATTTTATTTAATTCATTTTATATAAGAGCTTACTCTAATTAGATTGGATTTAATTGTGGTATCTCCAAATAAATATTTTCTCTAACCTCTACAAATATCCTTTATAATCTTCGAAACCCATACAGCTCTCAACTTTTCTAACCACCCTCGCATAAATAGTTCCTCTCTCTCTCTCTCTCTCTCTCTCTCTCTCTCTCTCTCTCTCTCTCTCTTTCTCGCTCCCTTATCTATTTATTAAAGCATTTAAGCTTTTACCCTCAAACTCGAACAACAAGCGAAATATTCGGCAATCATTTTGAGCCGACATTAAATCACATTTCCGCATTTTCACATTTTCCGGGGTCTAAGAAAAATTGTGTTAGCTGACGCAGCCGCTGCCGTTGCCTTTCTGCTGGCACGCCTTCGCCCATGCCTCCCCGTTCATACTCTTAGCATACCTGGCGCTGCTGGCTCTGCCACTTAAATATTCAAAGCGAAAAGTTGTTCTACACCTCGGCTATGGCTCGCTTTTTTGCTGCTATTATTCAGTTTTTTTGAGCAAATTCCCATAGGATGCAGTTCAAAGCAGACGTCGCAAAGGCCTTGGAGCGGGTTAACTGTGGCATAATACATGCGGCAAGCACGTCAGTTGCTGTTTTTCTGTTTTCTTCCTTACAAAGCCAGGGCAGTGAAAAAAAAACCACAAGAGAAAGTCAAATTTTTAAAATTTGCGCCACATAGCAGCAGGCCAGGGCTGCAGCGTAAGGCCAGATAGCTAAAAAAAACATTTTTCTGTTGCGCAGCCTAGCCAGACTGCTGAAAATACCTAAAATTGCAAAAGTCGATAGATTGTTTGCATAAGTTTTACACCATGTGACCATATTGGCTAAAGTGTCAAAATACCACATAAATAAATTATCTGACGTTTGTATACAGTATATTTTGTTAAAAAGCATTTAAGAGGCAGGAATTCTGGGTCGTAGCCGCTCGCTATTTTTGTGTGATTCTTTATCAAAATTTGGCAGCAATAAAATTCGAATTACTTGCTCTTTAATCGACTGGCAAACGGTGTTGATGCAACACAAGAGTGATATTAGCGATACGCAAACATAGAAGAAAGGAAAATATAGCATTTAATAATACAAAAAATAATATAAAATTTTCCCACACTTGGCTACACCGGATCGAAGAGAGTGCGAAAGAGTGAGAGCGAGCAAAGGCGAATTTCGAGTGCGAATGCGTTTCGATTGGCAGAAACAAGACAACGATTGCCGTCGTACATCGGCCACCGATTTTCTTTGCCGTTGGCTGTTGTAAGTTTTATTTCTACAGTAAAGGAATCTAATTCAGAAGCATTTGAGAAGCACGAGCACGGTTAACAAAATGTTAATAAACCTAAAGGTGAAAACTTTAGATGCTCGCACACACGACTTCAGCATCGACAATGAGGTAAGTACAAATGCGCGTGCATGTGTGTATGTGTGAGTTGTGTGGAAGTACATGCTTGTGTGTGTGCATTTTTGAGGTTGTGTGCTGAACGCTTTTCTTTTAATTACATTTTCTTTCTATTCCTAGTTAACCATACGCCAGTTTAAGGACCAAATCGCAGAGAAGACTAATATTGCAGCCGAGAATCAGCGCATTATTTACCAAGGGCGCGTGTTGTCTGATGACAAACAAGTGAAGGAATACGGTGAGTCATGGCTAGTTTGCATCTGTAGTTGCAATCAACATATTGACATATGATTTCTCCTGTTTTCTAGATGTCGATGGCAAAGTTCTGCATGTGGCCGAGCGTCCGCCCTTCTCGCAGCGCGGCGCTAATGCAACGAACAACGATGAACCGATGCGTGGATTGAACCGCCTTCCCGGCAGACCAGCACCGCGGAATCTGCGCAATGCGCCATATTTCAGGGCACTCGACGGCATGTTGGTGGGCACTATGGCCATACCTGTGAACAATGGACCACTGACTGCTGCGGGCGTAAGAATAAATGCTGTTTAGGCTACCTCAAATTCCTGTTGCTAATTATCGTATTCCTTTGCAGAATCGCACACCTCCGAATCGCTTTCCCAACTCGTCGTCCTTCTGCATTAATCGCATCACTGTTGCCCAGCACATGATCGACTGTGCCAATAATATAGCTGCATATCTGGAAAACCCCGAGATCGGGCTGAATAATCAATCATTAGATATACTGCAACGCGGGCATTGGACTATGGAGTCAACGGTGGTCGAGGTGGGCGTGTCGTCTACCGATATTCCACGCAACAATAACATCATTGACATGGTACAGGACGCAGTCACCGCTGCATTGTCACGCAACACACCTGGTCGCAACTATACAGTGGTGCAGCTGCCCACTGTCTACACCAACGAGGAGGGCGACCAGCAGCAGCAGCCGCCGCAACAACAACAGCAACAACAGTCGCAGCAGCAGCAGCAACAACAGCCATCGGATCGTGCTGGGAGCAGCAGCAGCGATGGCGCCGCCAGCGTTGATACGAGCGAGGAGACTACAGCAGCAGCCGCCGTGATCATTGAGGATGTAATTGAGACAGATGATGAGGCAGCCGATGGGACTAACACGCCACCCGGTGAGGACGACCGCTCCAACTCGCCGCAGGCAGAGGCAGCGGATCGAGGCGCAGCAGCTGGAACAGCAGCTGCTGGAGGTACGCAACCGAACGGTGCTGGCAATGGTCCGCGCCGTCGTACACGTCCCGAGGTGCTGGCGCGAGTCTTTCAGCGCTACCGTACTGTCGAGCAACGTTTGGCGCCCTTCCTCGATCGCTACTACGAGATCTTGCAGCAGGATCCCAGCTTCGAGGAACAGGACACAGCTGGACGCGAAAATGCACAACGCATCTACGATCGTGTCTCCGAGGCTCTGCACTATCTGTCGCATGCCCAGCATGCCATCTCGGACTTGATGCTGGACCTGTCTCAGCCCGGTCCGCGTGTGCTCACCTGCCGGCCCATTCTCGTGGAGCAGAGCGGCTACATACGCTCCAATAATATCTTTACGCCCAATCTGGTGGGCGCTCCGCTTGCAGACCTCATTGCCCAAGTGCCGTCTGCGTCTGCAGTACCACAAGCCGCGGCACCAGCCTCTGCCTCCGCTGCATCTAATCCACAACAACAGACTGCGGCTGGAACAGGCTCAGGCACAGGCACAGCTTCAGCTTCAGCGCAACAACAACGATCCGGAACTGATCAGGATGGAGTAGGTGAGTGTCTATTCAATATGTAGATATATATATATATATATAGAACAACACAATATCCAAGCAATAGACAGCAGAAGATATCAATTTCTTGTTAATTTCTTTAGATGATCACGTGGAGAACTCTGTTGAAGTCGAAGCAGCGCCTAGGCCAAGGCTAAGTCTATATATGCCTGTGCCATTGCCTATGTACAGTAGGTTTTCCTTAAATACAAATCTTTGTTGAAAGCTGGCTTAAAGCTTGCAAGCTTTGCTTTATGTTTTTACTGATCTTTTATACACTAATCCCGGACTCAGAGCTAAAGATTTGTCCTTAGAGTTCCAACTTGTTCTCTTCCTTTACTACTGCAAGATTAATCCAGAAGCTTAAAAATGCAGCATAAGAGCTAATACTTCTATTGTTATCGTTCCTTAAGCATTCTTTTATTAGAGTTCATCTAGCTGAAAGATATGCTAGATCTTTAAGGTTAGCCCAAAATATCAGCTTGTACAAATGGCATAAAAGTTACTCAAGAAAAGCTTCCGGCTGATCCTTAAAAGCTTAATTTCTTATTGTTGATGTTCTTGAAGTACAAGAATAGTTTTTCGTATATCCCCAAAGGTTTTTCTAGAAAAAACAGATTTTTGTACATATATTCCTCAATTCGCAATTTCATACTCTACTCCAAAATTTCCTGACTATATTTCCGTTTCGTTCCGCCAGCAGATCCTCAATCTCGAATGTCACGTCTAATTCAGGCTGTTGCTAATGCCACAAACGATGGGGAGCAGCGTCCACAGGACCCACAGGATGGCTCTAGCATGCAAGATATTGAGGAGGAAGATTATATAGATCCCGAGGAACGTAGCCGAAGAGCAGATGAGCTAACAGCGGCTGGCATTGCTGATGCAGATGCTGCAGCTGCTGCACTCGCTGGCCTAGCCAATCGAAATGACAACTTTGAGGATCCTGTGGATGAGCCCATGGTGGCGCCAGCTGGCACCAATGCAGCCGGCACACAATCTCGTGCAGATGCAGGTGAGTGCCCAGGTTATATGCCCAGCCTTAAACTGCCAAAACATGCGAAAATCAAGCCCTACGACTAATACCTTGTCGGTTTTCTAGATGAGCACGCCGAGCGTGCGGCTGAGGCTAACGAAGCACCCAGGCCAAGGTTTCGTCTCTATATGCCTGTCCAAATGCCAACGCCCAGTAGGTTATCCTTTTCCCATACAGCTCAGCCCAGCTTTTGTTCGGCTTTCATTAAACAGATTTGCTACTGATTTGAGGCATATTCCATAATATATTAGTTGTTCCCTTACTTAACAAAATAATATAGTTTATAGAGCTTTAACGCTTCAAGTGTTGATGCGTCGTATTTCTGTTGCTCTATGTGCTCTAAATGCGTATGCAGACCTCTTCTAAAACCAAAGAATCCATAATATGAAAGATTCCCTTAGAAAGCTCTACAATATGAAGCACATAGACTAATCTAAATAATCCATCGAACAGATCCATAAGTTAATGCAAAGTTTCCACAGTTAATTGATTTCTGTTTTGGCTTACAATTTAGCTAGTTTAGTGCTCTTTTGACTTGTTTCTTGTCTCGCTTGCAGATCCTCAGATGCGAATGGCCCGTTTGATTCAGGCCGTGGTCAATAGCGCCACAAACGATGCGGATCTGCGTGTCGAGTTCAATGTGCCCAATGTGATGTCCATAAATTTGCCGGTGCATGTGATGACCGCTGCTGTGCATCCGCAAGCCCAAGCCCAGGCCCAAGCCCAGGCCCAGGCTCAGGCTCAGGCACAGGCCCAGGGACAGGGTCAGGGTCAAGCACAGGGACGACCAGCAGCCGCCACCGACAGTGCCGGAGCTGGCGAAGCAAATGTGGCAGCTGCCGCAGCATCAGCTGGAGCTGGTGCTGTTGCTGCTGCCGTTGCTGCTGCTGCTGCTGCTGCTGCGGCTGCCGCATCCACATCGAGTGGCACGCGCAGCGGCGAGCAGCGCGCCAATACATTGCCCACAACGGCCACGCAGACGCGCTCGACATCCCGACCACAGATTCAGATTGGCGGCAACAACAATTGGGCCGGACGTATTGCACCTACGCATACGGCGTTCGATCGTTTCTTGCCCTGCAATAGCCATCATATTCGTGAGCCGGAGCCAATGGTTCAACAGCAGCAACAACAACAACAACAACAACAGCAATCCAACAACAACATCAGAAGCAGAAACAACAACGTCAGCAGCAGAAACAACAACATCAGCAGCAGAAACATCAACAACAACAATAATCACACACACAACTTCCTAACGCCGCTGCGTCAGCCAACCGCTGATGAAATGGGTAAGTTGAAAATACGAAGATTAACTAATATCTATCAATTTTGATACGGGAAAACATACATACTATATACATATATATAATCATCAAATCATATATGCATCCATATATAATCGTCGTAATGTCCCGGACAGTGCACGGCTTCGCCTCGTCGCGCCATCGCCACGTGGCCGACTCTCCTCATCCTAACATATTCATCAGAGATGTAAACCGGGTTATTATAGGATAATAGAAGAAAAACAATGCAACTCTTGACCATTCATTTTCATATAATTTTCCTTGTTTCAATTGACATTAATTATTAATCATAATTTTCAGAATATATCCAGTATATTCTGTTATATTTTGTATAAATTTGGATCTCCGAATTTCTAGTTACATGAATTGTACAACAGATATCTACACTTGCTCTATTTTGAAATGACCATATAGTATAATTCTCTCAAGTCCAATTTGAAATCGAGCCTAGTGTCTGAATGTAGTTTTATACTTGCCAAAGATCTATTCACAATTCCTAGAAACCGAAGACTGAGCTTAGTAACTATTGCCTATGACTACACACACACATGTACGCACAAATACACCCACACAATGTTGTAGGCTGCCGGTTTGCATCTCTGACATTCTAATCTGCATTCTATCCGTGTCATCTCATCTCATAGTCAACAGTACCCGCTTGCCGCGTAGCTTCAGCAGCTCAACCTTCTCGCATATCATGCCACGTCGACCATCCACCATCCTCCGCGAGAGCCGAAGCGGCAGCATGCCGGGATTGACGACTATTGGTGGCGGTAGTGTTGGTGGTGCCAATCGTAATGGTGCTAATGGTGGTAATGGCGGTGTTGATGGTGTTGGTGTTGGCGTTGGCGGTGTGCACGTTCCTGTCAGTTCTACCTTCTTAATAAGCGCCCGTCCCATTGCACGCCAGCCGCACGGTCGGCCCGTGCAAAGAACCGTATCCAGACTTTTATCCGCTATGTATGAAAATTTCCTGGTTACTAATATGAGAAATCATGCGCAAACAGCTTTGGGCGGCACAACAACGGGGCTAACTAATGCCACTTCGACAGCAGCAACCAACAATGGTGGCGCCTCAGCAGCGTCAGCAGCAGCAGCATCAGCGTCAGCAGCACCCGCAGTTTCAGCTGCAGCCTCGGGCTCGGGCTCGGGCTCGGGCTCAGCTGCTGCAACAGCCGGCGACGCAGCTGCAGCTGCAGCTCTGGCGGACAGCCGAGAGACTTGCAATCTACGCGCCCAACTGCGCAGCTTTCTGCACCACAGCGTCTTCGAGGGCGCCTCGGTCAATCCGTACACGATGCAAACGGCTGTGAGCCGAGCTCTGGACTGGTTCGGCGACAATTTGGTCTTTCTGCGTCAGTACGAGCTGCCGAGGTACAATTCGCGGGACTCCGTGTGCAATACGCTGCGCCAGAGCCTGCAACGGATCATCATGTTGTGCTACGGCAACACCTGCAGCAGCCACTTCGAGCATCAGCTAAAGCAAATCTGCGATCAGTTCCGGAAGCGTCTATACAGCGTGCTCTTCCTGTGCCTGGGCACCACCAATGCGGAGCTCTACTGGCGGCAGCTGATGCGACGGCTCAGCGTGCCGCTGCGTTTAAGTAAGAGTAAAGACTTGACCTTGATGCTTGAAGCAGATACTCACCTGAGATGACGCATCCTTTCAGATTTCCGCAATGAGGCCTTGCAGTTCTTGTGCATCTACATAGATCCCACAATTCCTGCAACGATAGACGCCGCCGATGCTCAACAGTTCCTCGTGCTGCGCGAAGAAGTGACAACGGGCGCCGATGCCGACGTAAGTCTGAGAATGAATTGCTGACCAAGTTTTCCATAAAGCACTAACTAATAGGAGCCTTTTGTGTGGCCTCCGCTACTCGCCTTTTCCTCACATTCACAGCCGGCAGAACAATCGCTCGACACCGACGTCGAAATGGCCGACGTGGCCGGTGGCAGCAGCATCTCCGCGGAGCCGGAGCTATCCTTGCCCGCGGTAACAGTCGGCTCGGAACCTTGGCATAACAGTTTCCCTCATGACTGGCTGCCTGTGATAACGCGCGATCTGCAAACCCAAACAGAGGTGAGTGGAGAGAGTAAATAAAAGATTAGAAATTGCTGAACAAAAAAACAAACTCTAAATTCATTTGCAGCAAAACCTACCACAGCCACCCTACTCCGATGCTTATATATCGGGCATGTCTGCCAAGCGTCGCAAGATCATCCAGAACGAGAAGTCATCAAACGTGGAATGCCTAATTTCTAGCGGTGTGCAGCGTGCTCTCCAAAACTCCGGTCTGGCTGGCACGAATGGTGGCGGTGCCAGCAACGCAAATCCCACTGTTAATCCGGATGTTGTGATCAATGCCATTGCCCATGATGCTGTGGTGCAGGCATCCTACACAGAGGCTGTGCGCAACAGTGCACGCGAGCGCCTTAAGCAGGATATTGATTATCAGCCAAGCAAATATCCGCAAATCACCAAGTTTACCGAGCAAAAGTAGGCGACGAGCTGGGGTCGTGTTGTGGGCGGGGTCGTGGCCATGGCCATGGCCGCGAATGAAGCGTGCTTTAAAGTGTGCTTTATATATGTAAATCTTACTTTAATATTGAACTACTATGTTTCATATTTAGTTAATTGGATAAGTTCTGAAGCCTGTGTTGGCCACACGAAGTGCGCGCGGCTGTGGACGCAGCAGATATATAGATACATATATATGTATGTAGATATATACTATATACAGCTGATATACATGCATACATACAATCAGATACGAGATACACACACACACACACACACACACACACACACACACACGTAATTAACTGCAAGAAACTACACGAAATTAATGGTCAAAGTTTTTAGGACAACTCTGCATAAAAAGAAAGCTAAATAAAATGAAATTCATACACAAAAATCAATTCTTTTCTCCATTATCGATCGATCGACAATATAGTTGATTGATCCAATGGCGTCCCCGTGGCGAATGACGCAGTGGCCTGGCAGCAGACAAAGCCGTGACGACAGCCAAATACCAAATTCCAGCCAAATATTTCGGCCGTAATTAAACAGCCAGGCCCCAATTGACGTGTTCTTTCGATTTAGGGCTATCAATTTTGGCACATGATCGTTTCCGTTGCGAATCAAACTCTGGAATTTTGCAGAATCTTCGTCAATCTCTCGAGTGGAATTCACATTACAACAACTATCAAAGAAATCGGCTAGAAAAAAATTATAAGACCAAAAAATAAAGAGGGAAGAGCAGAAATACATATGTATAATTTCGTTGCATGAGAAAGCGCGAAACACAAAAAATTTGTCACATTAAGAAATGTTGAAATATTTATGTGACATCAACACAAATATGAATAAATAATAATTCATAATTGTTGCTGTTGTGCGCTGTTGTTGATTTAGGCATGATTGAAATTTAAAAATAGCTCAGCTACGCAATCTGTGTATATTTTTAATACAATTTATCGATTACTTATAAATATTTAGCTAGTCTTCAGATATTTGCAATGTGGGCGTGTAACGGTCACACTAAAAATAACCGTCGCATGTCGTGCGCTCATCATCAGAGATGATGGCAAAGACGGCGACAGAGATTGAGATTGAGTATGAGTTGAAGCCTCGCAGCGAATCACAAGAAAATTGCCAACAGCCATGATTAATTGCTGCAGGAGCTATAACAACAGCACAGCAGCAGCAGCAGCAGTTGGTCGCAAGGGCGACAGACGTATGGAAGCGGACTGGGCGGCGCGGCACGGGACGAGCTTGTGTGATGGGGCACATTGGCACGCGCATTGCAGCCGGCAGGAATTTCGTGCGGAATTCACCGCGACAGACGGCATTTTTAAGGGGGCTTTGGTTAATTATGTATGCGCTGTGCCCAGCCACAACTTCAAAATAAATTAAGACTGCGGACTTTGATGCATGGTGCATGCTGCTGCTGCCGCTTGCCCCCTTGCTCTTCAGCTGACAGCGCACTCGTTTCAATGTGGCGCCTGCCAAGCAGCAACGAGGTGGCGCCACAGTTGCCACAGTAGCCAATTATTGTTGATTTATTTCTGCGAGTACGTTGAAAACTTTTGGTTGAGACGGCAGCGGTAATTAAATACCAAATTAAATACTTATCAAATACTAAGCGCAGCTTTATCGACAATCGATATCTAGCTCAAAATGGTTAACTATTCACCGTTATTGCAATTTTGCATGAGTATTTTGAGACAGCAGAGATACCCTGCAGAGTGTGGGTGGATCAAATTGACAATTTAATTATTAATGATCAAATAATTTGATTATTTACGTAAACTTTAAAAATGACATTAACATCAATTTTGATAATTGGGAAGTAAAATAAAGCTTGGTATTTATTTATATATTAAGTTTTATGTGTATATGAGGTATGTTTATACGTATCGAGGCATAGCTATCCATCTATCTTGTACTCTGTGATTTCCTTATGCATCTAGGGTATTCAATGGGTCTGCCAAATGTGTAGTATCTTCACGCATGATTATCATCGATGAGGCGGCACACGAACAACAACAAAATCATAACAAGCCGGCTCATTCAGGCACTGTGCAGTTGAGAACGTCATAATTGAAAACATTGCTCAGAAGATGCTCAGATAAAAGATACTGCGTACAAATAAAACTGATTTTCAAAACGCATATGGCAGTCGCTGGCATGTGTGTATGTGTGTGTGTGTGTGCGCGCGTAAAGGACAATTTATCAGCAGTGCGTAAGAGTAGAAGCCAGCAGCAATAACAACCAGAGTTTGTAAACACATGATGTTGATAATGATGCCCCCATACATAGATATGTATGTGTTTATGTATGTATATACATATGTATATATGTATGTATATGCATGGCATAGCATGGCCTGTTGCCTAGGTTCCTAAGAAACTCAACTTACAAACATGCCACATGTGGCAGCAACACCCATCTCAGTTGCTGCTGCTGCTGCTGCTGCTGCTGGTGCTGCTCAAAGGGGGCAACACGAAAAAACATCACGCACCAAAAACAGACAACGGCGCCAGCGACTCAGATTGAGATTGAGGAGACAGGAATACATGTAATTGAGTGTTTGCTTGAACAATTACATAGCCAAACAGTCAGTGGCAGCAACAGAAGCAGCACCAGCAGCAGCAACAACAGCAGCAACAACAACAACAGCAGCAGCAGCAGCAGCAGTAACAACAACTTGCAATACTTTGTGGCCAAAAGAGAAAACTTTTGCATTCAAAAACGCGCTCAAAGTTCTCAAGGCAGCAACAACAACAGCAACGGCAGCAGCAACCTCAACAACAACAGCTAAGACAGCAACAGCAACAGCAACAGCAGCAGCATGCGCAGTCGCTGCTGCTGCTCGCGTCGCCGTCAACGCCGCTGCTAGCGACGCAGCCAACAAACGGATCCTCAGCGTTTCCATTATTTTTCCCAGTCGCAAACGGACCGTGTTGGGCTATAGACGTGAGCAACGGGCTCCAGAAAAGAAAAAAAAAACGTAGAGTGCTATAAAGAACAACATAATATACGAGTACAAATACATATAAATATTTTATATATATATACAGCACATATATATAATAATAATAATACTATATAGAAACCGACTCCACGATTCACACTCACAATCTCGCTCAATACGCGCGGCTTAAAAATATATAAATAAATAAAAAATAAAAAAAAAGTAAATAAAATATATAGACATCCATCCGTCCACACACACATACACACACAGTTACAGAGTGCGAGAGAGAAATCAATATAGAGTGTGTTTGGGTGTGTGTGCAAGTGTGTGCGTGTGTGTGTTATTTTATTTTTTGTTTTGTTCATAGAAGATTAATACATAGATGTGCGTGTCAAGAGGTCAAACAAACGATTGAGCATTGCAGTCCACATTTGAAACACAGAACTCTCACATCTGGGTTTCTTCTGCTTTTTTTTTTTTTGGTTTTTGGTTTTTGACTTTTTGTCGCGTGAAATTCGATGCCGGCCACATAGTGAACGGGAAAAACGGTTCTAATAACGGTCCTCAAAAGTCGACAACATATCGAAAAATCGAGTGAACGTAAAATAGATACAAGAGTAGAAGAGAAAAACCGAAACCCAAGTATGGAAACTCCGGCACATATGTTCGCATCCGTATAACAAAACGTGAGAGAGACAGAGTTTTTTCCCACCAAAAACAATTTCGACTGCCTGCTCGCTCAGTCGCTAAACGCCTAGAGAAATCCTGTGAACTGTGAATCGAAAATCCGAATCGGAAAAGTTTGAAAACACAAACGACAAATCAGCAACAACAACAACAACAGCAACAATATGGCTTCTGTGATGTACGCCGTATTCCATTTTGCAGCACTGCAATGCTCGGCCCGTCCGGAGATATCGCCGTGCACGTGCGAAATGGGCAAAGCCTTCAATCATGTCGAGCTCGCCTGCGAGAAGCTCGAGTCCTTCAACGCTGTCGTCGACAGTCTGGCCAATAAGCTAAACTCCGATGTCAACATCGATCTGAAAATAACCCATTCGCAACTGGACGATCTGGAGATGAGATCGTTCAGAGATATGAACTTTAACATCTACAAGCTGCGTATGCAGTGGAACGGCCTAAGGTGCGTAAGATTCTCCTCAAATGAATGTCCGTATAACTGTATAAAAACTGGTTGGAACAGCTAAGGCTCCAAATTGGGCTTGGGATAGCTTATAGAAACGATCTTCTGGGCATTTTAAGATTTGAGTCGTAGAGCTTTAAACTGGTTTAAGATGAATGGCTTAGCGTAATGGCTAACATGCGACTGTTAGCTTTTAGTTCAGCAATCGATGGCTTGACCTAAGATTCTTTAATATTATGCAAGCAATTTTCCTAAACACTATTCTGCCCAAAAAGCTCAGGATCTTGCATTTGCTTGTTCGAAATATTTAACTGTACTTAAAACGTTCTATATACTTTCTTTTACAGCCATCCGATATGTGTATTTTAGAGTTCAATCCACGTCTAAGTGTCTTAGGTCTTCTATGTATAAAATTAATATAAGAACTATCTACCAAACCATTCCCAATTTATTATTCCTCCTTGTTACTTCCAATGATGTTGAAATAGATTACTCCAGGTAATTCCCATTTTCTGCCGGTTCGATTGTCAAGTCTCGCCGCCCGGGTATACCCCTATAAAATTGTCGTTCATTCGAAGCCCCCCACGAAATTCAATTATCGGCTAAATTTCAAGGTCGCCAGTGTCTTTCTATCTGAGCAGCGTTCAGAATTTTCCGTAGGCTGGCTATCAATTTAGGTTCCTTAAACCCAATCAAAAAACAAAAAAACAGCAGAAGAAAAACAACAAAGCTACGAAAATACGAGTCCAATGTACTTAAGCATAATAAAAACAAGTAGAAGAAATATACGAAAAAAAAAGTAATAATAATGAGAAATGCGCTTCACGTGTTTCGCGGTCAATTTCCTAGCTATCATAGACAGATATAGGTATATGCGTACATGTAGATCTGGGGGACTGAAGCAAACATAATTAGCTGCACTTCAATTGAGACTCAATTGGGTAGACCTGGTTCTGGGATCTAATTACGACCTGGCCGAAGTAAATGATTTAATTTTTCAATTAGAAATTAGCCGAGCTACACTGGGATCTCCACATCTATGCAATTGAGACAAATTACAACTAGTTTCGGGCTGGTTGCGACACGCGTTTCAAACTCAAGACTCAAGACTCAAGATTAGATCCTCAACTAGACGAGCCAAACAAACGTTTAGCTTCGTGCTTCGATTGTTGATACTTGAATGGCTGCGACTGCGAGTGGCGTTATCAATTTCTGTTTCTATATAAATTCACACACACACAGATAGACATATATATACACACGGGTATATATAGTAAATCCCCAGAGACATCCGACGTATACTTAATGCGTATGCAAAACTGATAATTGCAATTGGATTCGATTCTGGTTTGAAAGCGAACGAGCGAGCTGCACGTTTTCTCCGCTCACTCGAAGACTCTGAATGAATTTCAATTTTAAACAAAACACACACACACACACACACACACACGCACACACCTACATTGACAGTATTAATAGCAAATATAAATAACCATATCAGAATGTATATGTATATAAGTAATATTATATTCAGGCCTATTTCATAAGCGGGGTTCATTGATATTTGACTCCTGCGCCTAATGAGCTGCCAATTCAATTAAAAACAATCAAATAAACACACAGATACAGTGCAATATACAGTATATATATATATATATATAGTATATAGAATTTCTGTACACTTCTGTGCATAGAAATCGATTAACTGCCAAGTTCTGGATGGGTTATACAATTGGCTGACTTTTGCTTTATCAGCGGGCAGCATCATTTGTCAAACGTCATCTTTCCATCAGTTGCAATTTGTATGTAGAAAAAAAAAAAAAAACTTGGAAAAATGATTTAATTACTAGAACCTAATCGAACCCGTGCTATATAATACATACATATTAAGTACACTTGAAGAAAATGCGGTTAGAAATCATAGAAAAATGAGTCAACAAATTGTATTATAGTCAAATTTTCAAATTATTTTTAAGCAAGAAAGTTGTTTTGTTTTTTTTTATAGTTATATCCCTTTTTACGCTAAAAATAAAATAAATAAATTTCCAGGGAAAAAATCTGTTTTTAAAATAAATTTCATTTCTTAGAAATTTTTAATTTTTGTTTCACTATAAATTCTTTAATTATTGAATAATATTGGCAACATTTTTTTTTATAGAAATATTTAAGAAATAAATGCTTAGGCTTTGCCAACAAATGTTGCCTTTGCATACCCCAGCTCTTCTCTCAGTGTAACGCATATGCAACGCCGATTCGGTTCGATGCCATGCGACTTGGGTCTCCAGCGCGTGCTGCCTGAAAAGTTTTTTTTCAGCTTCTTTCTTTTTTTTTTTACATTGATGTCAATTTAATATAATTGACCTATTGCCTTAATATCGCGCTCCGACCAAATCATTCCAGGCCAGGCCACACATCACACAGCCAGGAAAATCACAAGTGACTGTGCCTGCTGTATGTACGTGTATGTATGTATGTATGTGTGTGTGTGTGTTATGCTTCTGAGTCGCTTGAGCAACGCGTGGCAATCCGCTGTGATTCGCGTGGTCAACGAAATCCGTTTGAAATCTTTTGAAATCTACGTGCCTAACCCAGGGTTGCAAGAGAGGTGCTATGATAGGTGATAACTAATTGAGTCTTAAAATTTTTATTAAATTTAGAAAATTCTATAACTACAACTAAATTTTTATTTATATTTTTCCTTGGTGTTTTCTGTAATGTTTCACATAAAATATTCATAAATTTTTTCTGAAGATTCTATTGCAATTCAAATAGAAAGCTTAAATCTGCATATGTATTTTTGTTTAATATATATCCCATATATATATTTCTTCATATTTCTATATAAATTGTGATTAATATGAAATTTTCACTTAATATTATAATACCTTATATATCTCTATACAAATGTATATATTTCTATATGTCTTCAATTAGAAATCTCGCCGTCCTTAAGCAATTGTTCCAAATTGATTCAAATTTCTAATATTCAGATTATTTTCCTGTCTTAGACCTTTACCCAGAGCCCTCAAAAAACCATATGGAATCATATTATATATACGTATACATGCACAGTTACATGTATACAATTCTATTTGGCTGTGATAAGAGCAGCTGTTTTAATGGACTTGGGCTCGTCATAAGTTTATGACTGGCGCCAACTTGATAGATAATGTGATTTTAATGATCGCTTTAACGATCCTCCACTGATCAAGTTGTTGAAAAATGTTGTCAACAATTTCTGTTCTGTTTCTTTTGGGGGGTTTCTAATGAAATTAGAGTAAAATGAAACTAGAGAAGATTCGGCCTCGGAGAGACTGCAATGTGCTGAGCTTGGGTGGTTGGATCGATCGATGCATCGATCACTTTTGTTTTGATTTGTTTTGTTTTGTTTTTTTCTCAGGCTGATAAGAGCTCAAGAGACATGCGTTATGGCAATGTCTAGCGAAGTCATATAAATACATCTCTCCACACATACATATATGTATATACTTCTGATTATACAGTTGAGGAGTAGTTGCAGCCCTGACAAAAGTGCGAAAAAGTGTTGAGTACGATAGCTACATAATTTATTATGGAATATTCCGAGAACAAAACGTTTTCAGTGATAACGCAACAACTACTTCGAATCGAATGTATATGTATATGGTAAATGTATATAGTATATATGTATATAAATATGTTTTCCTTTAAGAAGGTAAACAATCAACAAGAAAGTTTACACCAAACTTGGTTTATTATTTAGCTGAAAAAGAGAGAGAGAGAGAGAGAGAGAGAGAAAGACAATGGGAGGTAGAGAGGCCTAATGAATGCTTGGAAATGGAATGTTCCGTTGTTTCTGTTATTGTTATTTGTAATTGTTATTATTTTTATATTTTTTTTTGTCTGCTTGGGGTCAGTTTTGTGCAAAAGAGCGAGCAGGCCATAGCAAAAGAGTAAAAGAGAAAGACTGAAATAGAGGGAGAGAGAGAGAGAGAGAGAGAGAGCGAGTGAGCGGTTTCCCAATTGAATTTTATTATTACGTTCAATCAATGATCAAGAGGCCAGCTTAGGTCGTGTGACAATTAAATGACTGACGTTAAGGAATTGTCCATATACATACATACATATTTATACTACAAACATGCAAGCATACATACATATGTACATATATCTCACTCGATATATACATACATAGCTGCTTATGTATCTGCCTGATATGCGCTCAAGTTCAACGAGCGAACGCTGCCTTTTGCTCATTATAGATACAATACTCGTATCTATTGCAGTCGGCTGGCTGGGCCAGGCTAGGCTGACTGCATCATCATCATCATCCTTGCCCGTTTTTTTTTTCCACATTACATAATCAACTGCCGGACAGGCGAGCTCGCAATCAATCAAGATCAAGTGTCTCGAGATCTAAAAATAGATGCCTGCCAATCAGTGGCAGGCTCTTTGGCTGCTGCCAATAACGGCGCCAAGGATGTCCACTGGCTGCCATCAAGCAATTTGCACGCCATCCAGATAGTCAGCTAGAAGTGGCAGCAGCAGCCAGTTCCCAGCCCAGTTCCCATCATGAATAACGCGACCATTTGGCGCCCCGACGGCGACAACTTAATAGCCGCCTGCAGTCATCGATAAAGATATACAAGCACGCATAGGAGGCGGGACAGATGGGGCAGGGGGGTTGGCAGACAGGCATTCAGCTACAGGTATTCATATGATATATTGAGTTTAGGCTCTTTGATAAGCTGTGTCAGCGAAATATGAATAGAATAGATTGGAGGTGCAGCAGAAGATGCATATTAATCCATTAAATTAAATATACTGAGAGATACATAGATACAGATAGAGATACAGATACAGATAGAGATAAAGATATAGATAGAGATAGAGATAGAGATAGAGATAGAGATAGAGATAGAGATACAGATACAGATACAGATACA